TAATACCGCAGGCCCGAAGGGGTGGCCGTTTGAAAAGCCGGACTGCATTGTTCTTCCCGGGTCCGGCGCAGAAGACGTCAACGTCAGAAACCACATATCGGCATCTCCATCCATCTCCCGCACTGTACTGCAGACTACAGTACTCTACTCTACTCTACTCAACTCTGGGATCGGCGAGTACAGTAGTCTCGGCTCGACTTCCGCAATCCCGACCCGATCGACTTGTGACTTGCAAGCATCATTCCACCCTCTCACCCACTTTCTCGAGTCTTGTTGTGATTCTCGCTACGAAGAACGAGCTACAGCACTGTCAGCCCCCATCTTGCTTCGAGTAGTCTCTAGGCACTGCTCGGACGACCGGTCGTTGACAAGTCAGCTAGCTGTACGACCCCGCCAAGCGGCATGGAAGACTATGTGCGGGATGTGCAAGCATCACCGCCGCCGCTCGAAAATGCGGGGAGAAGAGGGCGGGGAGCCAAAAAAAACGCACCGACCTCCACTCCCTCTGCTTTTCCACGTCCAGGCCTAACACAAAGACAGCCCAGACCCACTCCTAGCGACAGTGCATGCCTCGCATCTCCGCACCACTTCCTCTCTCTTTTCTACCCAATGCAACTGCAACTATCACCGCTAGGCTCGTAACCCTCTTCTTTCGAGCACACACGTCACAAATGGTGGCTTAGGCAACCCGTGGTCTGGATTCGAGATTAATGTGACCTTGCTCTATGCATTGAGCTTGCCCTCGGCCCAGCGGTTTGTCTTGAGAGCCATCCTGTAAACGAAACCAAGAGAGACAAAGACGAACAGTTAACCGGAACAAGGTCAGCACGAATGCTCTCTGTAAGAGGCGCAAGACGCGAAAGGATGCAAGAAAGACGGCCACGACAGGAAGAGTAGGAAAGATCAAGGAAGAGAGAGATATAGCGGAGGAGGAGAATATACGTACTCGACAGCAGCGTTTCCCCAGTCCAGACCGTGATTGTGGCCCTTGTTTGCGCCTTTTGCGACGCCGCTTCGCTCGAGGGCCTGGTCTTCAGTGAGGGCGGTGAGGACGCCGAGGATGACGGGGACACCAGTGTCGAGGCCGATTCGCATGAGACCGGAGCAGCACGACTCTGAGATGTACTCAAAGTGCATTGTAGAGCCCTTGATCAGGACGCCGATGCCGATGACTGCGTCGAGAGCTGCTTTGGAAGGCTTGTTGCCCGTTCCCGACGACGAGGGTGCTGGGGAAGAAGTGTCGTCGAGCAACGAAGTGGCTCCCATCAGATCCGAGACGTTAGACGAAGCCTGTACCTGCGACGCCGAGATCATCCTGTCAGAATCCAGTCAAGAGAGGTGCGATCAACGGACGAGTCCGTTCCCGTGGATGTCGATATTGTCAGTAACCAGACGTCCTGCCCAGGCCTGTTACGCTACGCTATGCTGTGCAAAACTGTGCTCTGTTCGGATAGAATAGCCTTACCTCGAGACGCCAAATGGCAGCTCCCAGGATCCTGGAACGCTCTCAATGACAATGTTTTCAGGCTTGACACCGGCCTTGGTGATGTTCTCGACCGCGCCCTTGACAAGCGGAGTGATGCACTCCTCGTTCCATCGCGCATGGACGATACCGATGCGCAGCTTTTCAGCGCCCGGAAAAGAGGTCGGTGCCGGAGCAGGTCCCTTGATGCTAGCCATCTTGCTTCTTCGTTGTACAGAATAAGAGAGAGAGAGAGAGAGAGAGAGAGAGAGAGAGAGAGAGAAAGAAAGAGAGAGAAAGGTCTTGATGCGTCACTCGGCTGATAGCAAGACAGGCTGAGGTGATAGAGGTGCAACTCCAAGCAGTGTCGGAAGATCCGCCTCGACTGTAGTGTGCTACTGTACAGTATACGGTACTTAGCCGGGTATGGCCCCTCAACCGGAAATAAAGTTGGGCTTTGCCCATGTGCTCGTGTGAAATGGGCACCGTTGCTCGATTTTAGCAGCCCTCTCTCTCTCTCTCACACACACACATACACACACTCTCATTCTTGTTCCGCACAGGGCGGTGCAGCAGTGGGAGTTGTGTGTGTCGGCTGCATGTGGCATGCGGTGTGATCGAGCCACCCTTTTCTTCGGCGCCCGCAAGACCCTGTCACAGAAAGTACATGTAAGATCATTGGCGTAGGGAATATCACCGACTTCGGTCGTGACGGTCTCATCATCGTTGTCCTGCAATCTGGTACAGTAATGTGCTGCGTCGCATAGGATCTCCGAAACAATTCATACCGACAGCGACTGCCACTGTGACCGTGCTCGACATTGCCATCGGGGATAGCGCTCATCCCAATCAGCAGCCCGCTTCCCCGCAATCTAAGCATCCATCTCAACGTCTATAAAGCTGACCACGATTTCGCGAGAGACTTGCTGGTGTGAAAAGTCCCTGTTGCTCCACCTCGCATCCGCGCCGCTTTTTCTACCCGCCGTTTCTCTTAATCTCTCTTTCAAACGCGAAGAGGCCAGGAATAGAGGGAGAAATTGATTGATTATTGTTTCGGCGCCGATCTGAGCTGCCGACTACTGTATTGTACTTCAGTCTTTTGAATTTCTTCTTTCTTTCTTTTTCCCTTTTTGCCCCGCAATCTCCAAAAGCAGTAGGCTCGGCTTTTCTCACACGCTCCAACCGGCTTCATCGTTGCACCTTCAGCCTACCCTGCTCCACTACTTGTATCCGGTGGCCCATTCCCTCCGATTGATACATGCCAGACCTGCCGTAGCGCAAGACTCTCTCGCATCCGATTGTCCTCATCCTTCCTGCTCTTTGTCTGGCCCCGTCGTCATCAACCACCATCGACATGAGGACGACCCTGGTAAGGAGCTCCTCCTCTCTGCTGCCCCTTCTGCGTTCCTCCTCCGCCATCTCGACTTCCTTCCTTAGTCCTGCCCTTGCCGCCAGAGCCATGACCAAGTCCAACAGCAACAGCAGCTCTTCGTCGCGTGCCAACGCCCGTCTTTCTCAGGTCTCTCGGCAATTTTCGTCGTCAACAGCAGGCGGCCTCGCAATGCAGGCCTCGGCACCTTCTCGCGCTTCGGGCGCCTCGACCTCGTCCGCCGCGACCGATGACAACAAGCTGGTCAAGCTCCTCTCCGAGGGTGGCCTGCGCACCATTCTTCTCAACCGGGAAAAGGCGCTGAACGCCCTCAACCAGGAGATGGTCGACCTCATCGACAAGGCGCTCCACGAGTGTGTCCAGTCGTCTACCTGCAATATCATCCTGCTGCGCGGTGTTGGCCGTGCCCTCTGCTCCGGCGGTGATGTGCTCGCGGTCGTCAAGGCTGCCGACTCTTCCGACCCCAAGGTGCGCAACCAGGCTCTCGACTTTTTCCAGTCCGAGTTCCAGCTCGACTACCGCATTGCCCGACTCGGCGAAGCTGCCAACGCTCATAGCGCCGGAAAGGGTGCCGAGGATGCCCGCATTCTCTCCAAGAGCAAGGGTGCCGAGATCAAGCACCCCAAGACCTTTGTCAGTGTCATGGACGGAATCACCATGGGCGGCGGCGTCGGTCTCAGTGTACATGCGCCCTTCCGCATCGCAACCGAGCGCACCCTCTTTGCCATGCCCGAGACCGGCATCGGCTACTTCCCCGACGTTGGTGTCACCCGCGTGCTTGCCAGGATGGACGGCCGTATCGGCCAGTACCTCGGCATGACTGGTGCCCGAATTACCGGCGAGGAGGCCTACCTGACCGGTCTGGCCACCCACTACATCAACAGCAGCAGCATCGACTCGGTCGCCCACCGCCTCTCCACCCTCCCCTCCGAGAGCGCACTCAACCCTTCGCTGGTCTCTTCCGCGCTGCTCGAGTTTGCCGCTGACCCGCTGTCCAAGGCGGAGGTGATGCAAAACTCGGCCTTCGTCGGAGACAAGCGCATCGCCCTCGACTATGTCTTTGGCCAGCCGTCGTGCGAGGCCATCTTTACGTGTCTCGACGAGATCTCGTCTGGCAAGTCTGACTCCCAGGCGGCTGGAGAACTTGTGCAGCTGGGTCTCGAGTCCATCAGCGAACCTGTCAAGCAGTGGGCGGCACAGACCCTCAAGGATCTCAAGACCAAGTCTCCCCGCTCCCTCAAGATCACCCATCAGGCCATCCTCGAGGCTCGCAGATTCGACGTCGAAGAAGCCTTCCGTTTCGACATGCGTCTCGCCACCGCATTTTGCGATCTCTCCATTGGCCGTGACTTTTACACTGGCGTCACTCACGTGCTTGAGAAAGACCCCGCAACGGGCAAGCGCCGAACCGGAATCGCCGACTGGCAACCTCCCTCTCTTGACAAAGTCTCGGACACCTCGATCCGCGCTCTCTTCTTCTCCGATCTCGAAACAGCCTCCAAAGCCGGCCTGAGCTTCAAAGTGCCCGAGCTCCCTTCAATCCCCCCTCCCCTGACCAGCAAAGACGCAAGACAAGCCCGCGACTCCATCCTCCGCGGAAAAGGCCCCCTCAAATGGGAACAGTCCCACAACGTATTCGCCCTTCCCTCTGAAGCCGAGTGTGAAGCCCTCCTCGAAGGTTCCCACCCCGCTGCCGCCGCCGTCACCCCCAACAACGACGAGCTCGTCGACTGCCTCAACAGACATAAAGGACACCTCCCCGCCCTCGAATTCAAGGTCAACGATTGGATCGACCGCAAATCTCGCCGTCGGGTCTAGGTGCTTCTACCGCTTCCAACCCAAGAGCTTGAGAAATCACAGTCTGTTGCTACAGTATCACTCGTCACTTTGTTGAGTGGGAATCCCCATCTGTAATGCAAATGTACTCTGCTCCTTCGTTGTTCCGCAGTCACGCCTCTGTCTGATCCATCACACATCTGCTTACCAGGCTCGTCAACTAGACGCGAGCCGAGCGCAAGTGTACCGCCCCATAGACCGGCCTGTGACGCCAAATCGCTTTGAACAGAGCAAACGTCGCATGCAGAAGAGAGATTGAGCATGTCAGCAGGTGACCCAACGCACAAAAGATGCAAAAAGTCAAAATGTAAATGCGTCGAAGGGGAATCGAACCCCTGTCTCCTGCTGAACCGAGTGGACACGCTGTTATTCCGTTTCACGAAGTGGAAGGCAGGAATAATAACCATTATACGATCGACGCTCTGACATTGTGTCCGAATTTAAGCAATAATATACCAGCATGTCCGACTTGTACATCACTCGTTTTCTCATAGGTCTGTCTGCAATTCTCTCTTAGTCCGTCACAACACATATACCAATACACTTCAGACAGAAAACGAGAAGGAAAATTCACCACACAGAACAGGAGGGAATGCCAGATGAATGCTGTATGAAAAGGAGGCAGCTGTAGAGTACATGAACGAAGAACGAATGAACGGGTTGCACAATACTAGTGGTGAGAATCAGACGTCTTGCCAGTCAAGCGAACCAAGGATGGCAGTTTTCGACGGCAATCGACCGGTGCTTGGCGAGAGAAGCGTGATCTTTTTACGGACGGTGTCAATATCGGCGACATGGACGAACCCGAGGATGGGTGCGCCGATGATTTCGTCGTCAGTGGGGTTTGTAGAAGAGTCGGGTTGGCCTGCGCCTCCGCCGCCACGAGGGGGTTGGATGAGGGCGAGGATGCTATGAAGAAGACTTGTCTGATCGGCGGTTGAGTTTGCCGGGTCCAGCTTGACGAGTTGGGTCTCTGTGACTGTTCGGCTCGCTCCGATCGGCAACGCCGATGAGGGAGCCAACGACTCCTGTCCGACTCGGTACACTTCCAGTAAATCAAACGGAATCGTAGTGCTGTACGGACTGAGCGAAGGCACACCACCCAACGGATCGCCATGTCCGGGCAAAACAGCCTTGGGCATCGCACTATCCTGTCCATTTCTATTGCTACCTCCCCCAACCGACCCGCCATAAAAGTAAGTCTTGACTTGCAGAGCCTTGAGTCGAGCACGATAGGTTTCATCGAGCTCCACGACGCCGCCAGACTTGGGCAGTTTGATAACATTGACTTTGGGCATCGATAGACCCTGGGAGCCAGGAATGGGGATTTGATCCGACGCCGCAAAAAGCTTCGACATTTCAAGGTTCAGCTTTTCATGGCCGAGCACGATGATCGTGTCCACCTTGAATGCGCGGACACAGTGCTGAATGAAGGAGTACTTGGAGCGGGCATCCGCCGTAATCACACCAGGCATATCGATGAGCAGCCCCGACATTCTGGATCTAAAGTCCCGCGCAAGTCGCCGCTCAATTCCTTCAGCGAGCCAGTCGACGACGCGTCGAAAGTGGCGTTCGTTGTCCCTGATGTTTTCCTTGCCAAGCCACAGGGAGAGTGGAGCAACGCCATGGGCTGTAGACGCGCCCGGTGGAATGGCGCCCGTGGTAGCGGTGCTGGTACCGAACGGAAATACGGGCGAAGGGGACGGCAACGACGCGAGTGGCAGTGGAGAGAGTGGAAGCGCCGATAAGCAGCACGGGAGTGGCGCGGCGCCATCACTCGGGTCGAGATTGACGACGACGGGCCACCAGCCCGTGATGTCGCTTCGCTTGGCCTCTTCCGCCTTTGCCTTCTTGGCCTCTTCGGAGAGGTTGGACTGCATGTTTGGGTAGATGATGCCGTCGCCGCCAGTGCGGAGGCTTTCGGCGACCTTCCCCGCGTCGCCCTTGCCGAGACTCGCGACGGCAGGCGATCGGAGCGCGTAGTTGGCGAGGAACTTGATGAGGCTCGTCTTTCCCGCGGATTCGGGTCCCAACACCATGACGCGGGGACCCTGTCCTTCTGGTCGATAGGCTGTGGTCGCTGCGGTTCCACTCGGATCCGACTCGGTGTCTGTGCTGGGATCGGTAGTTCGGGGAGCGATGTACGTCGGATCCGTCACAGAGCTAGCGAGTGTCGAGAGCAACTTTGCGTCTCTTCTGAGCGCCTGTCGGGCTTCGATCCGTCTACGTTCCAGATAGAGATGCAGATTGGAATAGGATGCGTAGACGGGGGAGGGTTCATCGGCAAGGTACTCTGTAGATGCCGTGCCGGCAATCTCGAGCTCAGCACCTCTCCATGACGATACCGCCGCCTTGGCCTCGTCACCAAACGGATACCATCTCTCCTGATTCCCGCCTACCAGCTCAGCTCCAAAGATCTCGGCATCCGGCGCAGAACCATCCTCGGTCGCATTCGATACAAGTCGGATCGAAAGTTGCTCGTACGGCTCCAGCTCGAATCGGTACTCGGACTTTGGCGGCAGATACACCCGCCGATACTGCGTTGACGACTCTCCCTGTCCGTCCATCGCTGTCTTGTTGCACGACGGAGTATAGATGGTAGTGACGGGTCTGGTCGAGCTTTTTCCGGACTTGGTCACTGTGTATGGCTAGTGCTGCTGCACGAAGGGTTCACGCAAAAGATCCAAAATCTCCACCGTCAACACACTCACCCGCGCTCGCGTCCCGACTCCCGGAGAGTGACACGAGAAGATTAGGAACTGTAGGTAAAACATCCGGGTCTAACAGTGAATTGAAGTCAGGCTCATTTTATGCCTCAATTTCCAGCTTACTTTTATCTACTAACCGAAAGAAAGCTGTAGCGCTCAAATTTGGGTGTAGAAGACATAGTCGGTCACCACTAGTCACATCGAGCAGAATCTGCGCAGCCAAATAGAGTGATGCGACCTTATTGTGCCAAAATCTCGTCGATGCAGTATGCCAACGACATGCTACTAGAGAGTATATCTCTCGAGCCGAGTCGACACGGCTTCGCCAAATCAGACAGACGTTTCCGCTGATCTTCGGAAAGCCGGATATTGGGGGTTGACTTTAGGTTCAAGCATGAACTCCGGGAGCTCCCTTCATGTCGCTCGCCAACGCTCTGAGGCCGGACAGGAACACCACAACTTCTGCCATGAGAATGTGCTACAGTCCACTCCAGATCTCACGAGGAACGAAGGATGCCAGGTCGGCTCTTCGGACGAGGTTCCGTTCAGCAGCGCTAGGATTCATGCAGGTCCCTCGCGTCGTCCGAGGCGGCGCGCTGTTTGATCGACCTGCTTGTTGACTGTAGATGGCTCCGATTATTTCTTCTCAAAGTTGGTGCGGGGAAATGCGCCTCAGGCACGCAAATCCAACACCGAACAATGAGAAAAAAAAGATGGCGAACAACGGGCTGCCCGCCACGCCATCGTGCTCTATCTGCACCTCGCACGCAAGCTTGCGGATTAGGTAGCTACCAATCAATCAGTCTGTTCCTGTCAGCATCTGTGGGAGGTGGCACTGCCGTCTGGAGCAGGGTCCACATTGCCTCGAGTTATCTTTCGATGTAGTGAGAAGAATGACAAGGACTGAAAGGAAAGAAGAATACCGTTGGGAACTACATGCACCAGCAGCCGCAAGTTGATATTGTCACTCGAGAGCGTTACATGCCGAGGCAGCTGGGGCGGAAACTTCCATCGGCCCAACACGGAGATGGGAGCTGGCCGAGCAACCACAGTGACGGTGACGGTCTGCCGTACCACCAAATACACACTACCGCGGCGTGATGGTCTGTAGGCAAATCACAGACGGGAAGCGAGCTGCGACCCACGTTAAAGCCTCACGCGATGACTGGTGCCGACTTATCTGCATGTGCTGTGACCGTCTCGCTCTCGCTCTCGCTCTGACACAAACCTTGCCGCGACGGACCTGAAGAGTGTGCCCCACCACATTACATCGGGTCTGGACTACGCCTCGACCTTTTCTAGACCTCTGCAGTCACGCAAACGGGAGCTGCTAGAGCCAAGTTGTAAATATGTGCACTGCCCATGCCCTGAATAGAAAGGCAGGATTATTGATCGACCTTGTCACCACCCGATCTCGTGTAACTGCAACCAACGTGTCTTTCATACATCCCTTTCCAACTCGGATGACCGGTCTGTGCGTCACTCCACACAAGATGATGGGCTCGGCAAGGCCAAGTAGTGACACCAGTCAATACTTGGTCCTTCTGCTGCGGTAAGAGCGCGTCACAAGTCCAAGACCATAGATTCAGCAGCGCGGGGCAGAGCCAGATGTACAAGTGCGGCCAACGGAGAAGACGGCGAACGGCCTCTCGAACACGGCAAGAGGAACGAGGGCGGACAGCCGTGCTCACTATGAGCACAGTGACAAAACGGCGAACGGGCCGTGGTCCCGGGCTTCTAACTTCTCTTCACTGACACTTTGCATCTCCGAATGAGGTATGGCCGTGACGTGCGCCGAGAAAAAAGTGGCCATTTCAGAATCCAGCGTTAGTGATTTGCCGACTTTGCAGCTGCCCAGCCTGCGGCGCACGACTCCAGTAGTCTTGCAGTGTGGAACAAGAACCTCCACCGGGGAAAATGAAGAGGAAGAGAAGAGAAAAATAAAATAAAATGCAGCGCTACGGAGAGAGGGAGAGAGAGAGAGATTCATAGAGTGGAGAAGGGGCGAGACTGCGGATTCGGTGAAGGCGGATTACCACGATCGACGCGTGTCTCTTGCAGACTTGGATGGCGCACGGACAGAGCCCGACATCACTGCAGTGCTTTGCAGCTGTGGTGGTGAGCAAGAAAGCAAGACAAGTCACTTTCCCCGCTTCTTGGGGGAGCCAAGCGGCGGTACATCGACCCTGTGTGTGAGTCTCTGTTTCTCGCGAAAGCAGCCTTGCGTCGATGTGACTGGCTGTTGGAAGGAAGGGGGAGGCTTACAGGCCTCACGGTCCGCAACTGCTTGCGGCTGGCCGTGGACGGCACCGATGGGCCCCGCAGCCCACTTCCGTGCTGGAGCTGCCGTGCACCAGCCCAGGCCAGACGGGCAAGCGAGCGTCGGATGTGTGCATGTTGTTGAGCTGTGCGCCAGCCAAGACCAGCGGATGCAGGTGCGGTGACGGAACGTCGACTCGCTGCACTTGTGACGGTGGAAAGGGCTCTGGCTCGGCCCAGTGGCCGATCGCACCGACTACTGTCCACGCTAGCACGCCTCGGTCTCGCCGCACTGGTCACCAGCAGAGCCAACCTCTCCACCTTTGGGCCACTGTCGCTCCTGTACTGAGCGTGTTCACGAGCTCGTGACCGATCCACTGTCGCAGTTTGCCCTCTTCGCTGTATGAGTATATAGACCCACAGCCAAACGTCGTGCGCCCCGCACCATTGCCAT